ACCCACTGCATGGGAGCACGGGTCCTGGCTCAGAGGGTAGGTCAATAGCTGTTAGCCAGGATGGGCATGAATGGTGTCACTAGCCTCTGGTTGTCAGAAGCTAGGATGAGCAACAGGGGATGGTTCACTTGATAATTATCTGTTCTGGTCATTCCCTCTGGCACTGGCCAAAGACAGAATACCAGCCTAGATAGACTGTTGGCTTGACTCACTATGGCAATTCTTTTGAACTTACATACCAAGAATCTGGGTATATTTGGCTCTCAGATTCTGATTCAGGTTCATGTCTAGTTTAACAGCATATAAAAATGACACTTATATTAACATTGATCACTATACAAGATATAGCCAGTGCACCTGCACAATACAGTATTGGGCAAACTACTATATTAGCTAAGATAGACTTCTGATGAACAACACTCCATCAAAAAAAGGAAGTTATCACTCATCAGGAGAGAGGAAGGACATGTGTGTGGAGGAGGTGAAACAGATAAGTGCCACATCTATAGGAAGATTGTAATTGCCTACACAGGGTTGAGGAACTATTGTCCACTCCTATCATTATACTGAAGACCTAGCCCATGATTTTAGGATAATAGGCTGCATGTAGAAGCACTGGTAGTGAAGTTCTACAGTGAAAAATAACCATGTTTTAACAATATAACAGCACATTCCTGATGTTATCCAAAATGGAACTAAGGCCAGGTCCATACTATAGGGGAAGGTTGGCTTAAAGAACCTAATTCCATCTATGTAAAAAATGTAGCTGGAGTTGACCTACTTTAAGCCAAGTTTCAGTACTATTCTCACAAGGGAAGGTCAACAGGAGAAATGCTCTGGTTGACTTCCCTTACTCCTTGTAAAGAGTAGGAGTACTGGTGTCGACACGGACACCCTCATTATTCAATTTTGCAGGTCTTTACTAGTTCCGTTAAATCAAACACCAGAAGTTGGACCACTGCAGCATCTATCTTCCCACAGACAGAGACATGGCTTAAGTGTTGTTAAAAGATCATGTGTCAAGACAAGTGAAAAGAAGAGCTTTCCTGCACCTGATGAATTACATCCCCATGCAATTGCATATTGCAGAATCCCAGTAACTGTGCAGAAGCTCCTCCCCCATGCAGATTTCAGACAGCTGTTTATGTTGCCCCTGTGTATACCATCTCATGTCCCCAGATTTAAGCATTTTTAAAATGGTATATGAAAATAGCAAACTGATCCTCTTATACCGTTTACCAGCCAATTAGCTTCTGCTTTCAGCTAGCACGCAACTAATAAACAACATAAAGAATTTCTAAGACAGGCAGATCCATCCAGAAGAGGAAGACCTTTGGAATTACAATGTTTCGTGATGATGAGCAAGTTGGTAACCACAATAACAACATGAGACAAGTGCTAAATTTAATACAGCTGTATACAAACTGATCTTTCATCATGAAAATATAGCCATTTACCGAGAGTCCTTTATGTCCTGTCCCTGGATTACAGCAAAACATCCCTGTTGATCCTTAGCTCTTCCAAAATCAATACTATAACTTTAAACATCTGCATAAACAACAGAAACAGGTTGCCTGTTCAGCCATCCCAACAGTGTTCAGAAGCACTGCCATCTGGTGGCAGTTTGGAAAAATAACTGGCTTACTATGATCATAGAGATGCAGCTATTAGTCTGGTCTAGCTGAAACAAAAGACAGAATTATGTAGCACTTTAAAGACTAACAAGATGGTTTATTAGGTGATGAGCCTACGAAAGCTCATCATCTAATAAACCATTTTGTTAGTCTTTAAAGTGCTACATAGTTCTCTGTCTTTTGTTTTGGCTTACTACGAGCACCCTATTTGGGATCATAGGGTTAACCTGCTGAAGATGTTCTAACAAATACCTCAGAAATCATTCCCTATCAGTAATTCAAATGGTTGCTTACTGAATAAACTTCTATGTGAATAAAGTTTTAAAGTAGCCGAGTTCTATCATTAGCACAACAAATATATGCTGATTTGCTTATAAATTTCAAGGCCAGAAGGGACCACTGTGTTCACCTGGTCTGACCTCACATATAGGTCTGACCAGAGAAATATGGGTTTCACTGAGCTTAGTTTGGAAATCAGCATACTAATGGTTAAAAGAGGATTACATATTAATTTGCTCTGCATTATATACAAGGCACTTATTCTCTCTGTGCCTCAGTTTCTTCCTCTGTTCAAATAGAAGTAATACATGCCTACCAGAGAGATTGTGAAAATTTGCAGAGAGTTTTGATAACTAAAGTTGCTGTTCTATTTAAGGGCCTAACCCACTAAGGGTATATCTACACTGCAACATTATTTCAAAATAACTAGCACTATTCAGAAATAACTTAGTCTGCATCTACACAGCAGGCAGTTATTTCGAAATAGTGGCAAAATACTGTCAAGCTGAAGGACTTCTTAGTCCAACTCCTGTAACCCTCATTGTATGAGAAATAAGGGAAGTCAGAGGAAGAGTGTTCTATTTCAAAATAAGCGCTGTGTAGATGCTCCCAATTTCGAAATAACGAAATTGACGTAGCTCAATTTGCGTAGCGTATTTAGAGTTAAGCTCTGCAGTGTAGTAGATGCACTCTAAAGGTCCAGTAAAATCGGAGTATTTTGATTGACCACAGTGACCTTTAGATCAGTCCCTAATTGCAAATAAATATTATTATTTATAAATATCTAGTTTTTTTCAGGCTCACTTTTAATTAATATTCAGGTCAAAACTTTAAAAAATGTGAATCTAAAGTTCAACTCAATTTGTATTTAGTCATCTAAATAACTGGGCTGGTTTTCAAAAGTCCTAAGTCAGTGGGAGACACAAGATGAACCGCATTTTTAAAACCAGGCCACTCAGAGCCTAAATTTATTTTTAAATAAACCCAACAATTTACCTCTTGAAAGCTTATGCTACAATACCCTAATACATTTGTTAGTCCTTAAAGTGCCACTGGACTCCTTGTTGTTCTTTTTTGTGTGTAATCCTTCATTTATATTTTTAGGTACATAGACAAAAGAATTTCTGAATGCACCAACTTGAAAACATTACTAAGAAACTAAATAAGTTAACTTCAAATGTGGAGATTCTTAAAAAGGATTTAAATTATTTATTCTCAACTTACATGTTCATACATTTTTAGAACTACAGATTGAACCTCTGTAGTCCAGCCCACCATGGTCAAGCAGCATCTGAGGTCCAGCATGATTTTAATTAGCAGAATGTCCATTTATTCTGGGTGTGGCCAAGTTTCCCATGGTCCCATAAAGTTTGTGTATAGCTACCAGTTCTGGCTCTCAGTGTTCTGTGTTGTTTGTTAGCTCTAATATACCCTTAAATGTCTTCTAAGAGCCCAGTAAACAGTGGAAGTGTTGGTAATGCTGCTAGACAATATTGACATCCCATGGTTTGGCAAATTCTCTGATTCGGCACCAGTCAGGTCTTGAGATTGCCAGACTTGAGATGTTTAACCTATATTACTCAGGTAACACTAAGATCACACTTATAATGCAGAAGAATTAATTTTCACAACATATTTATAAATCAGAAATCTATAGGACTATTTCAAAGGTCCATATATTGCCATCAACCATACATTACACATTAGCTGTGGGATTACAGAGGAAGGTTAGTACTGATTATTTCTAAAAACCCCTCCCTGATGTTCAAAATGTGCTTTGCACAGTATTTCTAATTATCTAAAAGGAGAGTTAAGTAACTCAAGTCTGCTGTACGTAGGCTATTTAGATTAGAATAATAGGTGCGCAAATGACAGGTGCCTGCAAGCTGGATCCGGTCTGCCAGGGCTAGCCTCTGGAGGGTCCCCACACTAGCAGGTACGGGGAAATCACAGCTTCTATTGGCCGCAGATCGCCATTTCCAGCCAATAGGAGCTGTGATGGTCCATGCCTGAGGAGATGCACCAGGGGTGTAGCGGCCCAACAGGGGCTAACCATGGTGAACTGCCTCCATTTTATTGCCCACCCCTGCCTTACAGTAATACATTTAGGGAGGACTTTACTGGAATAGTACTGAGACCATCAACTGGCTCCTACCACATAATTCTTTTACAACAATGGTGTTTCAATATACACTAGCTTCAGAGAGGTAGCAGAGAGTTAGTCTGTAACAGGAAAAACTTAATACAGTGAGATATACACTGTATCTCACTTCCAGTGGCCCCCCCCACCACACACACACTTTTGTTATCTCTTGTTCTAAACAAGTACAATAATCCAACTACACCCACTTTAAAACTTAACTACATCAAAGTACTCTGGCTTTTATTTGGCATCAACGATACTCAATGATTGAACTGACATCAGGAAACACTTCTGAAGGCAGAAATGAAACTGGGAAGGATTCAGAGGAATTTCTGGGCTGGTTGGAAGAGAACAGGAAAAATATGGAAGATGAGGTAAACCCGTTTTTACTCAGGGTTCCAACAACTCTAAGGCCAACCCTGCTTGTCAACTTTCTGGAAGCAGAACTCTGATTGGGAGATTGGTGTAAAAATCAGCACCCCTATAATTTATTTACAAAAGCTAGTGGATAATGTTCTGCTCCTAGTGCTCAATTTGCAATCCCATTGAAACCAATGGGGCAGCACAGACATCACAGAGAGCAAAATTTGACCCGTTCTTCTTTAAGGGCAGGTTTTTATCCTCCATGACACATTAAGAATTTGTCTTCTAAAAATGGAAGGAGGAATGAAAAACTTCTAGACAGCTGTTTACTCTACCTTACACAAAAGTAAAATAAGTATGTGCCCTGAAGTCCATGTACATGATATTGTATATTCTAACTTGTTAATGATATTGAACATAAGTAATGTTTTAACCATAGAATGGTTTTTATTTGCTTTGAAAGCCACAAAACCAAAGAGGAAGTGTAGGAGAATGTGGGCAGCACTGTGGCAAGAAACCTCATGACCTCATCCTTTCCTCCTTTTCGGGATTGGCTGGCCAATGTCTGGAACAACATTTAAATTCCAGGAGCTGCAGATGTCAAGCTGCAGACGTGGGGAGGAGGAGGAGGAAGTCTGAATACTTTCAGAACAAACTGACTCGAGCAGCTGCACAGTGAAAGCTAACAACAATCCTGTCAGATTCTACCCTGCTGATCCAGACTCCAAGAAAGGTAAATGCACATTTCATTACCTAACATCTGGTGCTGTCTTAAGTTTTTATTCACAAGAACCTCAGCCATTAGAGTTTTAAATAATTTAGTTTTTAGTTCAACTTTAAAATCATTTTTCTTTTTCTGCTGAAAGATGTGCTTTCAGAGCAATAAAGTTGTCTTAAAGAAGGCTGCAGCACACACTGAAATTTACCATTTTAAATCTGTTAGTTTGGATGTACGTTTAGGGAGGAAGGGAGGAAGGAGGTGGTTTAACTTTCTCCCACTGAGTCAAGTGCTAGAAATGTGAAGCTGCCACTTGAAAACAAAAGAATATACTGCCAAAATGTAACTATTGTCATGTCACATGCCACTCTGGCAGACCTGCAGGGCACTCTGGAGAGGATATTTTACTTTTCTAATAACTGAGATTTCATTACTTCTAGTACAATACCTGTTTAACGTATTGTTTAGAACATAAGGACAGTCATAGTGGATCAAACCAATGGTAATCTAGCCCAGTATCCTATATTCTGATGTGGCGGGTGTCAGAAGGAATGAACAAGACAATTTATTGAGTGATCCATTCCTGTTGTCCCAGATCCTGGCTATCAGAGATTTAGGGATATATTCCGACTATATATTCCTTCCCTGAAAGCAAATATGTCTGCCTTAAACTTCCTTTCCCCAAGATTCCACATGTGCTTTTTTTTTTTTTTTTTTTGGGCTGGGTGTTCTGTTTTTAAATTTGTCCTTTAATATATAATTGCATACCCAGCCTCTTAGCTTCAAGTTTCTGGACACTTGATGCACTAACAAGCAACTTTTATTCATATGATTTTTGCATTCATGACAACTATAATTCAAGTTCTGTTCCGGAAAACCTGCTTTATATTAACTGTAAAGGGAGACAAAAATAACATGCATTGCTTTCTCTGTTTGTTTTTATGAAACTAAATCTATCATTCATCAGCATTTTTCTTTTAGTCCTCAAGCTTTTCCCTCATTAGCTCAAATCATCAGTCTGCAGGACCATTTTGTGAGGTACTGAACATCCTCAACTCCTAGCTTAGCACTTCAGAGTGTCTGGTTTTAAGTTTTTGTAACATGTGAGTTGAGAATCAGTAATGAACTAAAAATCTACTCAACTAAGTCTTCTTGTGTGGGATTATTGAGCTTCTAACTCCCTTCCTCTGATTAGCAACAGAAAAGGATAGGGAATATAGAAAAGGATAGGGAATATAGAAACAGAAAGAGGTGGTATGGAGAGTTTGAATCCTCAGCAGAATTTCAAGTGAGTACAGTGAAACACAAAAAAAGAAACAGCGCCTACAGTATGTTTGCAATCTTTTCGTATTGTCAATTCAGTTATAGTATCTTTTCTAGGTAAAGAATCACAATGAAGCTTGCAGTGTTTTGTTTGTGCCTGATAGGCATGACTTTTGCATTACCAGTAAGTATATCATACACCTAACAATAAAGCCAAATGTATATATTTTTCCCATATTAATAGAAAATGTATACTGAATATCTCTTTCTTCTCTTCCTCCCCTCAAGGTGAGTAAATCCAACCATCATGCCATCTCAGAGAGCTCTGAAGAAAAACATGTAAGCTCTTGTTACAAGCAAACTTCACTATCGTTCATTTACTTCTTATTTACTCATCACCTCAGCTATGCTGAATTGTACTTTCTAATTGCATTGTAACCACTGCTGTTACCTAACTTGAATTATATGGCCAAATTCTTGTCTAGTGTAAATCACTATAACTCTGTTAACTTTTGTGGAACTATGCCAATTTATACCATCTGAGTATCTTGCCTAATACACAAGGACATACCTTTTAAAGCAATGTGGCAGTGCATTATAAAACACATTTGCTTTGATACATTTCACTTGTATATTTATATAAATAAGCACTGCCCCACAGCCTGCTATTAAATGTTTTTGCAATTCACTACAGAGCATTCTGCTTTTAAATCCTTGCTGAAAAGTGGGAAATAGACCACTTATTGGGCTTGCAGCTCAGTCCAGTGAGAACTGAACTATTATGATCCCTCCATTGCACAGCCTTTCAATGGTGTCTTAAAGATGACAGACTCTAATCATGAAGCATTCACGCTACATCTACACTGCGAGGTTTTGCAGCAGAAAATATGCTAATGATGGACTCATTTGCATAAATTACAATCTCATTTGCATATTTTCTACCATTTCTTTTTGTGCAAGGTGTTTTTGCACAAAAAGAAGCAGTGTGGACGTTTCCTTTTTTGCGAAAACCCCCATTTTGCATAAGATCCTTATGCCTCTCTAGTGGGAGAATGGGTCCTGAATAACTAATTATATTGAAGAAATCAGCATAATACATTTTTTAAATCTATATAGTGAAAGTTTGACAGTTAATGAACAAACCTACTAAAGCATACATAAACCAGAAGGACAAACTTTAGAACACAATGCTCTCTCTCCTCCTCCATGAAGGAATTAGGAAATTTTGGAAGATCTACTTGTGTAGTTTCATCAGGTTTGTTCTATATGAAAGTGCCCCTAGTCACTAGGCCATTTTTAAGATACCACTACATTCATCCTGATTAACACCCTCTTTTCTAGAACGGTCTGCCCTCTTTGCTGAGGAAATATGTCTCATCATGGGAGTAACCTGCAGCTGCTACTTCATTTACCATGCTATGATAGGATCTTAACTGCCTGCCTAGGCTTTAAAATATACACGAGCGCAATACACTTCGAGAGCTGCAGATACTCTAATAATATTAACCTCATATCTATAACAATGCAATTTTATGCTGCACTATTAAATTGTTTCTATGCTTTTCAGAACCCTTCTGAATCAGCCAGTGTAAGTAATGAAGATGATGGTGATCATGATGATAACGATTCCAATGATACGGATGAATCAGATGAGAATAACGTCACCGATTTTCCCACTGATGCCCCAATAACAACACCTTTCACTCCTGCCCTCCCCACAAGGGGAGATAATTCAGGCAGAGGAGATAGTGTGGCCTATAGAATGGGAGCAAAAGCAAAGTTACTAGAAGTATACCATAAGGAGAAGCCTAGCAAACTCTACAAATCTTCAGGAAAGGTAAATAGCACCTGGCAATGCTTCCCAGCTTACCATAAATAGAGGCTGATATTCAAAAGGGAAATTTCTTTGTGAACATTAGCTGTGGTGAGGATTGACAAATCACAGGCAAAATGAGAAGGATGTATTCCCCCTGATGAAGGGGAATAAAACCAGCAATATTCCTATACAAATTGTGGGGAGAAAAAGAAGCTTCAGCCTCCCTACCCGCCCTAAAGGATACCTGGGGAATGTGAGGCTCAGGGCTGGGCCAGTCCTGGAATGCGGGGGTGGGAGTGTACGTCCCAACCAGACCCTTTTACCTTTCTGTATGGCTTTATGAGAAGCTATCCCATTCCAGGCACAGCCCATTTTCTCGTCATAACTAAACACTAATCTTGCTTTAAGTTATGACAAGAGGAAGCTATATACTGAATTTGGTGGTCCTAACTCTTACCATTTAGGAGTTCTTGAACAGACAGACAGACAAAAAGACTCAAGTGTAGAGTAGATAAAATAAAACATTTGTCATAGCTCTGTAAATGTACGCAGTGCTTTGTGGAAAATGGATAACCGTAAGGGTGGCAGAACTGGAAGGGCAAGCACCCTTGCAATGGAAATATTGTGGGGGGCCTAAACTTGTGTAGACCTTGTGGATGTGGGGAAGATGTAGTGGTGAGAGCAGGAGGTAGAGGGGCTGGAATGGCTGCCTCAGGGGCTGGAATCAGACTGGACGTGGGACCTGGAGGAGGATGGTAAATGGTCCCAAGAGCAGGTAGAAACCTCCAGGACCCCCCTTCTCTGTCTGAAGCAGGCTGCCCTAAGCTAAGTGCTCAGTACCTTCACTCACTCCCACTCCTATCTCATACCCCTCCCTCCAATAGCCTATAGGCCTTGAAGATCACATGAATTCAAAAGGCATGCCCTGTTTCAGAGGAATAGTGCAGTATTCAGTGATTCATTGGCTCCTCAAAATCTAGGATTTCTATTAATTATGCTTTACCCTTATGTCTGGCACAGTTCATCGTATATGATGTCACAGAAGAAGATGATAGCACACCAGACATAGAAAGCCAGCAGGTTGATTCCTCCAAGAGACAACCAGCAGCACACCACTTTCCAGGGAAATCTAACATTAGCATGAAATTGAATGACAAAAATAATGTGCAGGGCAGCAATGAAGTAAGCAGCAGATCACATGATAAGAGCATGGAAAAAGACAGCCAACAGCAGCTTGACAGTGTAGCTGTGGACAGCAACAACAGCAAATCTGATGTCACAGAAGACAGTCACATGAGCAATGAAAGCACAGAACAGCAGCAAGTCCAAACTGAGTATCTGCAACAGATTGATGATGTCCCTGAAGGCAATGATAACAGCAATCAAACTTCTGAGAGCACTGAAGACATTCAAGACCATAACAGCATTGAAGACAATGAAATCATTCTTTGAAACGGGTGATTTTTTTGTTTGTTTTAGTTAAGGGGAAAGGGAAACAGATTCATTTCAAGAATTGTTTGCAATTTCAAACACATCGTGATTTTAATCTCCAGTTATAGCAGTGGTTAGTGGCAACTTTATTAACCAGGCAAACTCAAGTATGCATTATTAACTCTCCACAGAAATGTAAGCCCTTCTACTGCGTATTTTACTGTGCTACTTGATTATGATTCTATTATAAAGGAAAATATAGAAAAGCAACACAAAAAAAGTTTTACACACAAATGAATGTTACCTGTTATGATACTGTACTTTAACAGTTTTCGAATTCCAGTGTATATTTTGTTGTATTTTGTGAGGTCAATAAAACTACAAAACTCTGTACATCTTTATTTAATGTGAATGTAATGAATGGATACTACACATCAGATTGATTTAATCAATTTTTGCTCAGAAAAAAAGAGCTGTTTTGATTAACATTACCACTTTAATTTCCTAATATTTAGTGATTAAATATTCATATTTTCACAGTATAAAAATTCATTCTAAATTAACAGGGACTTCTTTCATCACAAAAGAGTTATCTTTTGCAACAAATTGTTCTTTTAAAAATGAAAGCTTATAATCACTTTTATTTACACTCATATTGGCTAATGTCAATTTCAGATTTATGTCCCCACAAAACACACAAATTGACAGCAAAATAATTTAACTGTATCCTCCAACTATTACTTAACATATAGTTAAAAGTAAATACTATGCTGCCTACTATCAGCATGTCTAGAGTGCAGCGTTATTTTGAAATAACGAGGTGAGCATCTACACAGCAAGCCCATTATTTCAAAATAATTTTGAAATAATGGGCTGCTTATTCTAAAATCTGTAACCCACATTTCAAGAGGAATAATGCCTATTTTGAAATAACTATTTCAAAATAGGGTGTGTGTAGACAGCACAGCTGTGTTATTTTGAAATAAGTGGCCTCCAGGAAATTGTCACAGGTAGCCACTCTGTCCACACACAGAACTCTATAGTTCCCTTTACCCTGCAGCCTTTAAAGCTGCAGCCACAGGGGAAAGGGCTTGTGGCACAAGGAAAAGCCCTGCTAACCCTGTGCCAGGTAGCAGCAGCCTTCATTGCTTTTGATGCTGACATGAGCTATCCCTGTGACACCAAGCCCTCTGTGGCTGCAGCTCCAGGAAGTGACTGATGTCCTGGCCTAGAGTGCTTCTGGAGCCTTAAATTCAATTTAGGATCAGGGTGGACACTATTTTGAAATAGTTCTGTAGTATTTCGATGGGGATTTGTACTGTGGATGCACTATTTTGAAATTAGCTATTTCAGGAGTTTTTATTCCAAAATAGCTTATTTTGAAATAAGCGTGATGTGTAGATGTATCCATAGGGCCCAGTTCTGCTCCTGAAGAATGCACTAGCAGAAACTTCCATCTACTTCAGTTGGAACAGAATCAAGCTCTGTTCTTTTATTTATTCCTTCTATATTTACATTATCATTTTTACTTTTTTGGTCTTGCATACTATGCTGAGGCATTTGAGTTGCTGAAGTAGTGAGTTACTTCTGTTTTAATCCCATCTAAGACAGCAATTGATGGTGGCAGCAATTCCCCAAAATCTGGGTACTGTGATTCTGGGATGAGGTTTGTTAACCAGTGCCTGTAGAGACAAAGTTTTTAATCTTTCTTGTGGGCCCTCAGCCTTCTGCACGCAGAGTGCCAGAGTGGGGAACAGGCCTGACACTGGATGACAATAGGACCTGGAGGGGTGCTGCTGGTCACTAGCAAAGCATTGCAAGAGACAGTGCAGGCTGGAGAGGGCTGTGGGGGCACAGTCCCAGGCTGCACCTCGACGGCATCCTGTCCCACCTGCACTAAAGAGAAGAGACTTTGACATTTCTAGAAGTCACTTCTTTATAATTTGACCATGATGATATTTTTCTCAAAAAAAGAAACTATCGACAGAAGTCTCAATTTGCAGTCCTGTGGAGAAGACTATCCAGACATAGCAGGGAAAAATAGCTCTGTCTCGCCTTATCATTTCTTATTCAGAAATACGATAGAAATCTTTTTATCAAAAAAAGTGAAAAAATATACTGTCAGTTTGGATAACTTACTTCAATAACGATGAAAAATAACTAAAAAAGAAGTTCATGAAAGATACAGTGAGAGTAATTCATTCTCTAATAGCAATTTTCAACTAACTCACAGGGAGTCTCAAAAGTGCAATACATACCAAATAGTTTTATCATTCTATAGCTACCAGGAAGTAAAATAAATGTTGTATGATACAGGGATTTGGTAAAGATAACAAAACATTGATAAGAAGAAAAGTCACATACTACCTGCCAGAGTGAGATAAGTGTCTCTTCTCCCATGTCTGCCAGTGCCAGGGATATGTGGATTACTTTTTGGTGATTTGTCTTAACTCACAGACCTAAAGAACATACTTTTTAGTGTATATACATAAATCTTCTCATAGTTTCCTCACATATCTCATAATGATTACGAGACACAGGCTTACACTAGAGACATTTACATTAAATTTTTTTGGTGAACACAAGGGAATCTCTGAATCCCTATGTACTTCTGCGCTTTCTGGAACTTGGCTTTGCAAAGTCCTTGCTTGTTTACATCAAGTTTGGACAGATACGAAAGGAAATTCATCATTGCCATGACATGTTTAATCAAGCATTGGAACAAAAGCTTGCGGACATCTAAAGGAGCATGATTATTGTCTTGGATGTTTGCATGTCTCTGGAAAATACAAGCAATAAAATGAAGAATCCACCAGAATTTCACCAAAGTATGCCACAGTACCTTGACCTGGGTTAAATGTAGACTACTTTGAAAACTCAGCAGAAATGTAAGTAATTATTCTCTACTTGCTAATGCATGTAAATCTCCCCTTGCCCATGCAAAAGCAGGAGCGTATTACCGCAGCTCTGTCCTCCTTCCATAGTACACAACAGAAGCGTCTCAGCAGAACATAAGCTTGGAAGAGGCTCCAAAGGATTTAGGGGTAGGTTGGTATGGAATGCCAAATTGCCCAATTTCCATTCTTGCAGCCTCTTTCCTCAGATGCCTGTTCAGAGTGTGAAGCAGAGCACTGACAAGAGCACCAACAACAAATGACCCTCTTCCTTTCCTTTCTGCCAACCCCACCACCCAAAACAACCCTCTACATTACCCATTTTCTATGTGAGTGTTTATCAGTGAGGCACCAAAGGTTCAAGCCTGTAAGTTGTAAGATTTCTAGCACTCTAACAAAGTTTGTTATGAGTTAATAAGTCAGAGCAGATTGCCAAGAAGTCTTGAGCATCATAATTTTCATGGTAACATGTCAGTTCCCATATCTGTATGTGAACCTGTGTTATGCCACTAATACAAATTATTCTGAAAAATGAGGGAAACACTCTCCATGTTTTAGACTTCAGGATATATTGAAAACTTTTGCCCTCTGGCAAATTGCCAAGCTATCCTTTGATTAGGAAAAATGTGAATGCCCTGGTTAAGAACTTAGTGGGAGCTGTACCTGAGAGGCTTCCTACTGTTAAGGAAAGAAACCAATTACACCCAAATCCTGTAAATATGTAATAACTTGCTTAATTTTGCTAAAGTAAGTATGGCTCTTGGAGTGAATGAAGTTAAGCACAATTGTAGGTATTTGCAGTATTGAGGCCTTCATGATCCAGACATATTTTCTATTGTAGGCAGCTTTTCATACATTTCCCATTAACACATTTTAAATTAGTTAAGAAAATCCATGTCTTCACCAATTGTATTTATGCTCACAAACTTTATTTTTTTTCCTGGGACCAAACATTTTGTTCTTTCTATTTAAAATGAATAAAAACAAACACTGTGAATGGCTAGCTAACTACAAAAGCAGCTTCTCCTCTCTTGGTACTCACACCTCCAGATCAGCTTCTAGAAGTGGGCCTCATCCTCCCTGATTGAATAAACCTCGTTATCTCTAGCCCCGTGGTCTCCAACCTTTTTACATCCAAGATCACTTTTTAAATGACAAAACAAGCCAAGATCTACTGCCCCTTCCTCTCTATTCCTCTCCATCACTTGCTATCCACAACTCTTATACTACTGCTTTTTTCCCCAATTCTTCTGTAGGAAGAGGTTTTTCCAACATTTGGCCTGTCTAGATTGGACCAAATGTCAGAAAAATACCATCTTTTGGAAGCCCCCTTATTCCTTGTGGAAAGAGGAATATAGGGGGTACTGAAAGAGCACAGTTGCTCTTCCACTAAAAAAAACAGAACACACACATCCCTGGATGCAGAAGCGTTTTTCTGGGATATCTCCGGAATCCTGAAAAACTCCTGCAGTCTAGCCTTACCCTCACTGGGCTGAGGCAGGATGTGTAGGCTCTGGGGTGGGAATGAGGGATTTGGGTATGGGAAGGGGTGAGAGATGCAAGCTCTGGGAGAAAATCTGTATGCAGGAGGAGGTGGAGAAGGGGACACTGGGTCGGGGAGGGGGCTTCAGACCGGGCAGTGTTGGGGTCAGATGTAGGGTTAGGGTACTAAGCAAGCCACAGGCTTGTGGATATGAGGGTGTAGGAATTTAGGTTAGGGTATGAGAGGGGCTCAGGGCAGGGGGTTCCAGTGTATGATAGGTTGAGATCTAGGATCTGGGGGAAAGGAGAGTGCAGGAGCATTATGCTGTGGGCAGATGGGGCCTTGGCCCCAATTTGTTGGCCAGGCTTCATTTTTAAATAAAATACTATGTGAAACACAAAGTTTCTGCATTGTTTCTATTTATGAGAAGGGCAGGGAACCTGTTTTGAGTCAGGGGTCACTGGCCCACAGAAAAGTCAGTTGGGGCCACACAAGTGAGATGCAAAATAAAAACTCCTCCAAACCCCTCCCCCACACAAGCCTCACTAATGTGGCCCCAACTGTGCTGGTGGGAGCTGGGGACATGGTATTAGGGAAGGGTGCCAGGAAGTACCAGGACAGGGTGCTGGGTAGGGTGCCAATGGGTGCTGGGGCAAGGGACAGAAGGCTAGTGGGTAAGGGCCTAGGACAGAGTGTCCATGGGAGGTGGGGACAGGGTGCCAGCGGGGCCAGGATGCCAATGGGAGCAGAGTGCCATTGGGAACAGGGGGCAGGGTGTTGGCTAGTGTAGGAAATCTTTGGCACGCGCCAGCCAGTCACAATCAACAGGTTGGTGATCACAGCTCTAGCCTGATTCTGGCCTGCATATTTATACCGTCTCTAGCTATTTCCCCTACATGCATCTGACGAAGTGGGTCTTTGCCCACAAAAGCTTATGTTCCAATACATCTGTTAGTCTATAGGACATTACAGGACTCCTTGTCGCTTTTGCGGAACCAGACTAACATAGCTACCCTTCTGATAC